AACTGATATTACATCAGCACTGAATAGAAAACATGGAATGAGAGTTTGATGGCCTGTGTTTCTAAGAATGCTAGCCTGCTTGATATAAAAAATGAAGAAGAAAGGGTAAGATATCACACTTTCTACATTTTACTAGAGGCTTGTGTCAGTCGATATTGTATGTGTAGAATTCATCTACAATTTGTGAATATTTGTAGCTATTTAAAGTCAGTATATTGTTTCATCATTTGACTTGATAATATTTTATTTTATTGCATACCAGTAATGCATATTTGCTTTTCATAAAACACTGTGCTTCTATATATGCTTGATTTCTAACAGTAACTTTGTTATTTAATTTTGTTATATCAAGAACACTAACCATATTGTAATTGAGCAGACTGATTACACAAGGAATGGAATCATGTGATTGCAAACCAGATGACAAAATGCAGTGGGCAGTCCTCCACAGCCCTGCTCCTGAGTGTCCATTCTCTCACTGCCTCTTCTCCCTCACCTCTCACCCACTGGGCTGACTTTGAGTATTTTAGATTCTCTTCACTTGTTTTTGAACCTCATATAAATGAAATCATACAGCAGACATTTTTCTTCCCAACTCTCTTCATTCCAATGTGCCATCGGTGCATTTTATACATATATATTGCATTTATCTGCTGTTTTTAAATTTTCACTGCTGAATTATGTGAACACAATGTTTAAAAGCCATCTATCTGATGTCTCTCATTGGGAATGTGAATCTTATGCTCTAAGGAATAAAGAGGAATAATGATAATAACAATTATCATTTTCTTTTTTGACTTTATGTTTATAGTTTACACTATTATTTATGTCCCATTCACCCCCTCCCACTTCCATCTGGCACCGGCCCCCATTCCCTCTGGCCATCACCACACTGTTGTCTGTGTCTGTGGGTTATGCCCATATGTTCTGTGGCTAATCCCTTCACCTTTTCTCATCCAGGGCCTTAAACCCCTTCCCCTCTGACAGCTGTCAGTTTATCCTTTGTATCCAGGCCTCTATTTATTTTTTGTTCATTAGTTTATTTTGTTTGGGATTTTTTGTTTGTTTGCTTGTTATTTTTGGTTCATTAGGTCTCATATATAAGTGAAGTCATATGGTATTTGTCTTTTTCTTACTGGCTTATTTCACTTAGGATACAAATCTCTAGTACTGCTATATTTGTAATGGTATTTTTCACTACTGATGTTATCAGAGCTTGAAAAATGCTTTTGTAGTAAATTTTATAAAATGAAGTCAATTCCTGCAATATGTACTTAATTTATTGAGATTGCTATTTGTTACAACCTCATATAATATTATTTAATTGGGTACACCAATGTGAGTGACTATAAGAATAAGTGTATCAATTTTATAAAGACAACTTAAGTGAGAAACACATTATTTGATATTATTAATAAATGACTTAATTGGTATAATTCTATAATGTAATGAAGAAAGATTTTTAATTTAATTTATAAAAATATAATGTTTCTAGAGACAAATGAAACTGGAAACACAACATACAAGAACAAAAGCATTTTAAGAGGGAAATTGATATCAATGAAGTGAGAAATGTCCCAAATAAGCAACCTATCTTATGCCTTAAGAAATCAGAAGAAACAAACTGAATGCAAAACCAGTAGAAGAAAGGAAATAACGTTTAGAATATAAATAAATAAATTAATAAAGAAAGAAAGAAAGAATGGAAAATCAATGGAGTACATTAACCAAACTAAGAGTTGGTTCTTTGAAAAAAATAAAGTTGACAAACCCCTAATTAGATTAACCAAGTAAAAAAGAGATAAGACCTGAATCAATAAAATTATGAATAAAAAATAAGACAGTATAACAAACCAAGATATTCAAAAGGTCATACAAGGCTATGATGAACAATTATATGCCAACAAACTGGAAGACTTAGAGGAAATGGAAATATTTTAGAAACATACTACTTACCAAGACTTAATCAGAAAGAAATAGAAAATCTGAATAGACCAATTACTGGTAAGGAGATTGAATCAGTAGTCAAAAACTGCCAAATGAAATTAAGCCCAGGACCATATGGCTTCACAGGAAAATTTCACCAAACTTTTAAAAGAAAATTAATACCAACTCTTATCAAACTCTTCCAAAAAATTGAAGAGGAGTGAACATTCCCAAATTCATTTTATGAGGTCAGCATTATCTTGAAACCAAAACCGTAAAAAGGTATATTAGAATAGAATACTACAATCCAATATTGCTGATAAATTTTGAAGCAAAAATTCTCCATAAAATACTGACAAACCCAATTCAGCAGTGAATTGAAAGGATCATTCATCATAATCAAATGGGACTTATACCTGGGATGCAAGTATGGTTTAACATAGACAAATTAATCAATGTGATACATTACATTAATAAAATGAATAAAAAACTATATGATTACCACAATATATGCATAAAAACATTTGACAAAATTCATCATTTATCATGATAAAAAGAAATATGTTCATAGAAGTGACATATCTCAACAAAATCAGTATCATTTCTATACATTAACAACAAATCTGACAAAAAATTAATTAATTCCATTTACAATAAAATCCAGAACAACAAAATACTAGGAATGCATTTAATTCAGGCAATAAAACAAGAACTCACACAACTCCACACCAGGACAAACAATTCAATTAAAAAGTGAGCAAAGGATCTGAACAGACCCTTCTCCAAGGAGGACATACAGGCGGCCCAGAGACATATGAAAGGATGCTCAGCATCACTAGCCATCAGAGAAATGCAAATTAAAACCACAATGACATATCACTTCACACCAGTCAGAATGACCATCATAACCAAATCAACAAACAACAAATGCTGACAAGGCTGTGGAGAAAAAGAAACCCTAGTGCACTGTTGGTGGGAATGCAGAGTGGAAAGATTTGCCACTGTGGAAAACTGTATGGAATTTCATCAAAAATCTAAAAATGAAACTGCCTTTTGACCTAGGAATTCTACTGCTGGGATTATACCCTAAGAATCCTGAAACACCAATTCAAAAGAATCTATGCACCCAAATGTTCACAGCAGCACGATTTACAGTAGTCAAATGCTAGAAGCAGCCTAAGTGCCCATCAGTAAATGAGTGGATCAAACAACTGTGACACATTTGCACAATGGAATACTATGCAACAGAAGGAAAGAGGAGCTCCTACCCTTTGCAACAGCATGGATGGAACTGGAGAGCATTATGCTCAGTGAGATAAGGCAGGTTAAGAAAGACAAATACCATATAAGTTCACCTATAAGTAGAACATAATCAACAAAACAAAGAAATGAGCAAAATAGAAACAGACACACTGAAATAAAGAACAAACTGACAGTAACCAGAAGGGAGGAGGGAGCCAGATAATGGGGCAAAGTAGGGGGTGGGTCATCAAGGAACATGTATAAAGGACCCATGGACAAAGACACAGGAGGGGAAGAGGATTGAGCATGGAAGGTAGGGATGGGTAGGGCAGGGAGAATAATGGGAGGAAAATTGGGACAACTGTAATTGCACAATAAGAAAAGAAAGATCTCTATCCAGAAAACTATAAGATATTGATGAAAGAAATAGAAGACAGCAATAAATATGTTTATGTATTAGAAGTATTAATATTGTTAAATTTCCAACATTACCCAAAACCATCTATAGATTCAATGAAACTTTTATCAAGATACCAATGGCATATTTTACTGAAGTAGAAATAAAAACACATCTACTTACATGCAACCACAAAAGACCTTGAATAGTCAAATACATCTGAGGAAAAAGAACAAATCAGGGGTATCACTCTTCCTGATTTCAAGCTATACTTTAAAGCTATAGTCATCAAATACTGTATGATCTCATACGTAGAATCTAAAAATAACAACAGAAAACAAGCTCATATAAAAAGAAATAAAACTTGTGGTTGCTAAATATATAGGTCATTTTAATAAGGGTACATCTTATTGGTCATGTAGCATGATAAGCTTGCATGTGATTGGCTGATTCTTGGTATCAGAAATCCTTATATACAACTATAGGCACCTGAAGTTGTGAAAACACACATTGAAGCAAGAAGGGTAGGAAATTACTACTATTTTTTTCAAGAAGCAGTCAAAATTATACCTAGTTTTTGCCAGATTGGAAATACACACACACACACACACGCACGCACGCACGCATGCACGCACATGCACATATATATGCAACAGAATTTTGGTAATTAGTTTATGTGTGCCATCAGATGAAAAGGGTTAATAATAGTTGGTCTATCTAATAACCTAGATAGCTAGCATGTGATTAATAAGTGGGTAACATACACACTGTGAATACACTTTATCTTCCTTATTTTCTTTTTATTTTATCTATATGCAAAGATGGATGTTAGCTGAACCTAGTGTGGTAATCATTTTGCAATATATACATGTATCAAGCCATCAGGCAGTAAAGTTTCGTATCTTTTGATGCTCATGTGTCATTTAAGTTGTCTTTTAGAAGTCTTTTAAAATGTAGTAGTTTTTCAGACTATTGGTGAAAAATATCATTAAAAACCTACTGTTTGTGGAATTATGATTTTAGAATTGTTTCCACTGTAATAGAAATGCCATATTGAGAGTATAAAGAAAAGAAGTATGGAAGATTTAGTAAGCCTAAGAGTAGAATTTAAACATCTAAGATATTTTTAACCAGGCCTAAGATTTCAGAGTCTGTAATGAAGATGGAAGTAAGTTCACAGCATGGGTGGTCCAGTCTTTTGTCCCCTAACACCTTTCAGATTAAGAAAACAATTTCCAGATACATTTGCCAATGGACAAACTGAATGACACACTGTCAGTCCAAAGTCTCCTAGATTCTGGAGGTCTGTGATGAGCTACTCAGTCTTCAAAATAGCCCCAGTGTAAGAATTTCCTGTTCAAATGTTAAGTGACACATTAATGAGAAATCTACATTTTCCGCTCATGCTTCACTCTGAGCCTTCACAGGTCAGTCTGTGAAGACTGCAGATATTGTTTATTTGTAAGAGTAGCTTGTCTCTCACTAAAGGATGCAGTACTTTCTGGCTTCTAGAGGTATGTATGTATCTCCTGTCTCTTTCTTTGATCCATTTCATGTACGGGGTAATTACAAGTGCTAGATGTGATACAAGTGAGGAACAATAAGTATACAACCAAATCAAAAAGAACATTGGTATCTTTATTTAAATAATTTAGGGCAAAAATCAAGAATAAAATATGAAATGTGTTGGAGGATATCTTGAACTTTTCAAACTTTTGCCTAGGAGAATTACTCAAGTATGCATAATTGAGTGTGTTAAGGCAATTCAAAGTAAAATATTGTAAGAATCATGGAATTGTTATTTTTAAATTGTATAGTCAATATAGATATAATCATATGCATATGTTATTTTTATTTAGCCTAGCTTTTAAAAGGAGATTTTTCAAAATGAATTATTTGGGTTTTAGTGGTCAAAATATTTTATACACTTAATTAAATGAAATAAAAGAACTTGCCCTTTAATAAAAATCAGGATCAAGTACTCCCTTAAAATTGTAATTAAAGCTTAGTTATAATCAAAAGACTTTTTTAAAACTGAGCTACCATTGTAAGTAAACATACCACATGGATAAGAAGACTCTGTCAAAAAAAAATGTTACAGCATTTAATTGATATGAATCAGTACTAACATGAAAAGTGTGTTCAAATAATAATTAGCCTAACTAAAATATTATGGGAAACTTATACAAAAGATGAAATATTAAATGTTATCCATGCATTATATCTATATACTTTATTCCCTCTTTATATTAGTAAACTAAGTTGCTAGACACTAAGTAGTTTTGTTAATGGGCATGCATTGCAAATTTCAAAGCCACAATTAATTCTAGAAATCTCTGGCCACAAAGCTCATTGACTGAATTATTAAATTACACTATCTGATCCATTACTATTGCTTACCCAACTGAAGGTGCCTTCACTGACTTTGACATCAACATTACCTTTATGGAAGTTTGAAACAACAGTGTTCTAATATAAAGGATCTACACATTTATTTATCATGTTATGGTTTTATAATTTTCCCTTAACTCAATTGCTAATTTCTTGTGTAACATAAGTATTTTAAAAATTTCATTGTTATTGTTTTGTTGTCAGTATGTTTAGGTTTTGAATAAGTTCAGAGTGCCAAAGATTTTTTAACATATGAAATATTTTTATTGTAAAAATTTCTCAAATTTTATAATTTTTCAAAATAAAAGGTCATTGATAATAACTAATGCCTTTAATAAACAACTGTATGTCATGAAATAAAATTAATTTAGTTCATAAAATTATTATATATGCCAACATGACTAATGCCCCATCTTTAGAACATTCAGTCTTTAATCATTATTAGATTTCAAATTATCATTAACATTGTGTCTCTTTTTTCCAATATAGCATTTCAATTTTTAATGCAAGCATTCTAATGTTATTAAAATATTTCTGTAGAATCTGACTTTAAATGAATAAAGATGTTATTATTTATGAAAGTGTTTATTTCTCATTAAGGAATTGCTTTTTGTTACTCAAACAAATAATACATTGTCAAATGCAGAATATCTTAAACATTGTATCTACCACAAGGCACTTGTTTAAAGATTTAAGACATTTATAACCAGAACTTTAGATTCTTCAACTGGGAAATGAGCTAATACTCACCCTCTACCCCTCCCAATTCTACTCAGTAAGTACATTTTACTTAGAGCACAGTCTTGGCCACCACTAAGCTGCCGAGATGAATGACCAGAGAGTAACATACGCAGAACTGAATCGGGTTAAGGACTCAAAGAGACAGCACATGAAACCTAAGGGCACTAAAGGCTCCATTCCAGGAACTGAGCAGGAACTAACCTATGCAGAATTAAATCTTCAAAATGCTTCTCAGAGTCTTCGAGGGAGTGACAAGAACGATCGCTGCAGAGGTAACACATTCAGTAGACACAGTGTAAATGTTCTAGGATGTGCAGCTGGGTGCGGATGGGTGGGAAAAAGTAGGGAATATGCTCATACATTTTTCATCTTAAGGATCAGGACCTGAAGTTGGAATATGGTATGTTAATATGAAAGCTAAAGACTAATTTTATTCAGACATTCTTATAGGTTGTAGTCTTTGACCAGTAACTCATAGAGCATTATACTTAATGAATATACAATAGTATATCCTGTGATAAACATTACAGTGGTAGATATGGGTTTGGGGTTCAAGTTTATGGATATGATTCTCTGTGTGTAAGTTGTCCAAACAATTGTCTCTATCTCTTCTTTCTCAGTGTTTCCATTTCCCTACCTGCAGCATCTTTGCCACCTCCAGAGAAGTGCATTGCTGGGATCCTAGGGGTCATCTGCCTTGTCCTGATGTTCACTGTGGTAACATGGATAGCTGTTAATCGTTGTGAGTAATTTTTTGTAAGATTATATAAAACGTCTTACTTTTATGTTCATGAGTGCCTCCAAACACTACATAATATTACAGAATAGAACTCTCATTTTAAAGTATTCCTTTAGACTAAGTGCAAAATAGTTATTCTGAAATTTTCTAAGGTATAAATATCAGAATGATTTTAGAAAGTAGTTTATAAATATATTAATATGTGCATATATATCTCATATGTATGTTTATATTCTCATGTTACAATTAAGGCATGCTTTAGAATACCTTATTGAGAAATACAAATTAATTCTGTATATTGGCTAACCCAAATACTGTAAGAGATGGTGATGTCTGGTTTTCTGGGCTTTTGAAATATTTTTACCCCAAATTATCATTGCTTTATTAATTTTCCTTGTTAAAGTAATTTTATTCCAGATTATTTTGATCCCAGTGTATCACATTTCAAAGTCATAAACACATTGTTATGATTTATTTTGATCCATATTAATTTTTATAAGAATTATTTTCTTTTCTAGCTAATGTAACACCAGAGCAGAAAAATACTTCCTTGAAAACAGCGATCCAGAAAGGTACATAATTACTTTCTAAGTTATGATATGAGTACAGTTCATACTTTGTTTGTAACACAGGGTAGTCAGAATAGTAGGTTTTATTATTTCATGATCACAAATTATAATACTGGGCAATGTATGTTCATAAATAATAAGTATAGAAGAGTGTTTTTCTGATGCAAAAATATGAAAAAATATTCATTTAAAATCATCATACCCATTGTTGCCAATTGTCTCAAAGATTATTTTGGTATTCTAAAAGAGTGGTTTCATTTATTGACATTGAACACTTATAAAAAGTGTATATTTTTGTTTGTGTGTTTGTTTAATGTGAGCATATAAATTATTGGATGAGAGGCTGAACCTTTTCTGTGTGTGAGTGTATATGAGTGTATTTTGTTTTATATGTATGTCTGTGAGGGTATGTACATACACTATGCACCTAATGTGTCTATACCTATGCAGATACTGAAATTAATTTTGATTTTAAAATTCACCTTGTTCTTGGATAGCTATAAATAATCTTTCTTCAGAATATCATTGTGGTCAATGTCCACCTCAGTGGTTAATGTATTCCAACAACTGCTATTACCTGGGTACTGAACAAAAAACATGGAATGAGAGTTTGATTGCCTGTGCTTCTTGGAACTCTAACCTGCTCTATATAGATGATAAAGAAGAAATGGTAAGATTTCCAATGCTTTTAACATTTTATTTAAAATATATTATTTTAGTTCATATTTGTAAGATTCATATTTTCTATACTTTTGTGGTTTATTTATTTTAAAGGCTGTTAAAATTTCATTGTTTAACTCTATGATATTTTATTTATATCTTCTGCCATTAATGCACACTTGATAATTTCCAGTTACTGCTTTTCATAAACAACCATGCATCTATAAGTGCTTTTTTCCTTCTAAACTGTGTAAATTAATTTTACCATACATCATGGAAACTAAAGATATCATGGTTGTGTGTGTTACAAACTGAAAAAACCCAGATAATTACAAATGCGATCATGAAATAGGTGTTGCCAGTCCACTCCTGTGCACTCTCTCATAACTTCTCCTTCCCTCCATTCAAACACTATTCTGATATTTTATATGATAAATTATCTTTGTTTAATCTTAAACCTAATGGGAATCATCCATTATGCATTTTTATGTCTCCTTTAACTCCCACATGAAATTTTGCACAATTTATACATATTACTGTGTATACCAGTAGTTGCTTTTTATGTTTGTTTTGTATACATGACATTTTAATCTACACAGAATACAGATTTTTTAATATCTGGGTATTATGAATAATTATTTTATAAAAATCTTTGTGTGTTCCTTTGCCAAAAATTATATTATATTTAAAGTAATTTATATTACATACAAATAAAATATTATATATTTATATACTATGAATATTAAACTAATACAAGTAAAATTATTAATATAGTTATATTATAATTGTATATGTGCATAATTATAATTTATTGTCATTTTGTTGTGTCAGAATGACATAACAGAATCACAAATATATACATATGACACATTTATTAGATTATCCCATTTCCCTGTTTCTGTAAATATACACTTTATCCAATAGTTCCACCTTCCAAAGTGTAGTGCTGCCAAGAATTTTAATGGCATAAATTTACATTACATCACTATATAAAAATATCATTATGACATTAGTAGGCATTTTCCTGATTACTGGTACAAAGAACACACCTTTTGGAGCACTATTCATTATGAAATTCTTAGTTGTACCATTTCTCCTGCATATTGCCTGTTATTTTCTTACCTAGAAGTTGTTATATTTTGGATATGAGCTCTTTTTTGAACTTGTAAGATGCAACTACTTTTTTGACTGTTAACTACATTTTTCTTCTCACATTGGAAACTTTTAACGACAAGAACTTACTAATGTTGCCATAGTCCAGTATCTCATTTTGGGTGTTCATGATCAGTTTGGACATATTTCAGAAGTTAGCTGAAGTTCATGAAGATAATCTGTAACACTACTTTTTAGGTTTTATCCATTTTCTTTATTGATTAAGTTTTATATTTATGTCTATAATAGCTTGAGAATATATATTTTTATGATGCTGTGTGTGTGATGCTGTGTGATAGTTTATACTTTATATATATGTATATATATGTGTGTATATATTATTGTTTTCAAGTATAGTTGTCTCAGATTTCACCCCACCACAGCCCCTCACCACACCCATCCCCGCTGCCCACCCCTGAACCTTCCCCCTTTGGCTTTGTCCATGTGTCCATTATACATGTTCCTTGATGGACCGTCCCCTATTTTCCCCCATTATCCCTCTCCCCCTCCCCTCTAGTTACTGTAAGTTTGTTCTTTATTTCAATGTCTCTGGTTGTATTTTGCTAGCTTGCTTGTTTTGTTGAGTAGATTCCTCTCATAGGCGAGATCATATGATACTTGTCTTTCACATCCTGGCTTATTTCACTTAGCATAATGCTCTCCAGATCCATCCATGCTCTCACAAAAGGTAGGAGCTCCTTCTTTCTTTCTGCTACGTAGTATTCCATTGTGTAAATGTACCACAGTTGTTTGAAACATTCATTTACTGATAGGCACTTAGGTTGCTTCCAGAACTTGGCTATTGTAAATTGTACTGCTATGAACATTAGGGTGCATAGGTTCTTTTGGATTGGTGTTTCAGGATTCTTAGGGTGTAATTTCAACAGTGGAATTGCTGGGTGAAAAGAGAGTTCCGGTTTTAGTTTTCTGAGGAAATTCCATACTGTTTTCCACCGTGGCTGCACCAGTCTGCATTCTTACGTACAGTGTACTAGGGTTCCCTTTTTTCTGCAACCTCTTCAGAACTTGTTGTTTGTTGATTTGTTTGTGATGGCCATTCACCTGTGTGAAGTGGTATCTCACTATCGTTTTAATTTTCATCTCTCTGATGGCTAGTGATGCTGAGCATCCTTTCATATGTCTCTGGGCTCTCTGTATGTCCTCCTTAGAGAAATGTCTGTTCAAGCTCTTTGCCCATTTTTTAATTGTGTTGTTTGTCTTCCTGGAATGGAGTCGTGTGAGTTCTTAATATATTTGGGAGATCAAACCCTTGTCTGAGGTATCATTGGCAAATATATTTTCCCATACATTTGGTTCCCTTTTCATTTTATTACTATTTTCTTTAGCCTTGCAGGAGTTTTTTATTTTGATGAAGTTCCATTTGTTTACTCTTTCTTTATGTCCCTTGCTCTAGGGGACATATCAATGAGAATATTTCTGTGTGGAATATCTGAGATTTTCCTGTCTATGTTCTCCTCTAGGACTTTTATGGTGTAGTGACTCATAGTGCAGTCTTTTATTCGTATTGACTTTATTTTTGTGTATGGTGTAAGTTGGTGATTGAATTTCATTTTTTTTGCATGTAGCTGCATGTAGGTCTCCCAACACCGTTGGTTGAAGAGGCTATTTTTACCCCATGTTAGGCTTCTGCCCCTTTTGTTGAATATTAATTGACTATAGGGACCTGGATTATTTCTGGGCTCTCTGTTCTGTTCCACTCATCTATGGGTTTGTTCTTATGACAGTTCAACATTGTTATTTAATTGATGCAGCATAATTTATAGCAGGTGATCATTTCTTCATAAATAACTTCATATGCATGGGTCTATATATATTTTTAACATGAAATTTAAGAAGTTCATTTTTATGTCTCAAATATTATTTTTGGTCTTTTTCTGTGTCTCTTTTTAGTCTCAGGAAATATTTACATCTGTTTCAGTTTTCCTTATAAAGTTCTAAAGGTCTCTGGGCTCCATTATTTTGTCTCTCTTTTTCTCTCTACCCTCAGGAATTAATCATTTCTATCACTCCATCTTTAATGTCATCAATTCTTTCTTCTGCATCTCAAAATTTATGAAAATGTATTGATTTTTAAATGCATTTTCAACTGAGAATTTTTACTTGATTCATTCATACTGTTTTTATTTCTCTAATTGTTTTGTCATTACCACCATATTTTCATATAGTTATTTGAACATAGTTTTAAATATTTTATAATATGTTTATAATGATTACTATAAACTATTTTTCTAATAAATCCAACATCTTCTTCCAGTAAAAATTAGGTTCTATTGACTGATTTTTTTCCCTGAATATGAAAAGCATTTTTCAGTTTCTTTGCATATTCTTAAATTTTCTTTGTAAGTACATATTTTCAATAATATAGTATAGTAAATGTAGATTCTACATCTTTCTTAGATTTATTAACTTTTAACTTGAATAAACAATTATGTAGAATCCTTTCTTTTGAAGTATGCTTATTCAGTTTTTTAAAACTTCATTATATATTTTCATTTTTAACCTGACTTACTAAGGATTCCCATGTGAGTGCATAGTGTAGTTGACAGCCAATGATTTTTTTAAATGTATTCAAATACCTCAAGTCAGTTTGGCTCCTCTGTCTGCTATTTGATGAATTTGTGTGTATATGCAGGGGAGTGCTCATAATTTGAAAATCCCTTTTGGTTTTTATTTTTTATGTTTTCATCTTTTTTTCTTCCATACATGTGTACAGTTTTCCCATTAATCAAGCACATGTAGAGAGCTAATGTCATCTTTTCTATGATGCGGTCATTTTTAGTATGTTCCTATTATATTTATGGTAGGCATGGTGCTTGACAATATGGAGAACACTACCTTGTGCTAGAAAATGGGTGGTTTGCCTCATTTGGAACCTAGTAATTCAACACTTGGAACTGAAAAAACTGTGGGCAATTGAGCAACCCCTTCCACTGCTCATCAAGTCTGCCCCTGTGGCAACAACACCATTGATATTTGACTGTTCCCCAACTTGTAAAAATTACAATTCTTACTCACTGACCTGAGATGGGGATCGGAGGAGACATGGGAGCAGTCCTAGACTAGAGGACTTCAAATTTGCTCTATTCCTACTTGAATCTCCAGCAATTTTTTCAATAACAAATAATTATGTTATTATTAGTGTTTGATCAACTTTCAGAGCTGTGAAACTGGTATTGTTGTCCATTTGTCTTCTTCACTTTTCACACTAATGCATTTTCCTAATGCATCCAATGTATAACAATATATTGTAAATTAAAAGAATGTAACTTGGAAAGAGTTAACTTGTTTTTGCTTCCATTTTAAAAGTCATTTATTTTTTTTTAATTTTACTTATTTCTTTTTTAGAGAGGTAGTAAGAGAGGGAGACACACATCAATCAGTTGCCTGTAGCACACCCCCAGCTGGGGACCCAGCCCACAACCGAGCCATGTGTCCTGACTGGGAGTCCAACTAGTGAGCCTTCACTGTGCGGGACATGTCACAACCCACTGAGCCACACCTGTTTCAGAAGAATCATCTTTATTTTGTTTGCAAATATACAGTTTTATTAGTTGCTTAGTACTTTATTTTTTCCCATTTCTAGTGCCATAGCTTGCCATATACAACATTGCCTTTTTACTATCAAATTGCTATATAAGAATGCTGTAAAATACAAACTATAAACTAAGATAAACCTCTTTACAGTATTCAAATTAGTGCATTAAAACAGGCCCTAGCTCAGTAGGTCAACTGGTTAGAGCATTGTCCCAAACACTGGTGTTGTGAGTTTGATCTCCTGTCAGGGCACATAGGAAGCAATCAATGTAAGTGGGACAACTGTTTGAATTCTCTCTCTCTCTCTCTCTCTCTCTCTCTCTCTCTCTCTCTCTCTCTCCCCCCCTCCTCTCTCACACACACCCAAATAATAAAAATAAAGTAAAAAACAAAATAAAACAAAATTGATTTAAAAAGTGAGTTAATTGCCAAACATCTAATTCCTTTTTAAAGGAAGAATGGTAAAAAAAAAAAAAGTTACCTACATATGAAAATGAAGAACAGCTTAAAAGCTTATGCATTTTTAAAACTTATCAAAAAGTTGTTCTTTAAATTTCCAGTAATAAAAGCAGTTACAACAATGCAAAGCAGAGCACAGATAACATGGTCAACAAGAGTCACATGGGCCCCAGACCCACTGGGGTGGTCATGTCCCAAAGTGTCCAATCCCATGTTGGACACCCAAAACTAAAGCAATATTGAATGACAACTGTAACCAAAAACATTTTTTAAAAGTTTCTCTTTAAAATGAGTTCCCAGAAAGTATAAATTTAACATTTTTCCTAAGGTAAATTTATGAGGGGGAACCAAGAAAAGAAATATCTTCCAGAGGGTAGGCCCTTGGTAGTAGTACAAGCTTTCCTGCTGGGTGAGTGTTCTAGGAACCCATCTGTATCAGAGTGCCAGCTGGCTTTATCGTGAAAGGCTGCATTGGGCTCCAGAGAGTTTTTTTGAAGGCTCTTTCAACACATTTGCCCATTTCACAATGGGTGATTTACAAGCACACCTGCCCACACTGTGCTAAGTGTTCAGCAGTTTTTGATCAAAAAAAGTCATGACCCTCATTTCTCATGCTCCTTATTCACTCAATCAGGCCCTAAGTGAATTTTTTTTGTTTCCCTGAATGAAAAAAGCCCTCAAAGGGAAATGTTTTGCCAATGTGGAAGAGGTAAAACAAAAAAACAGCAGAAGCACTAAAAGGAATCAAAATTGATGAGTTCAAAAACTGTTCTGAGCAGTGGAAAAAAACATCTTCTAAGTTTATGGCATCACATAGAGAGTATTTAGAAGGTGACAAAAGATTAAATTTGTAATAATAAATAAGCAAGTTTTTATAAATAAATTCGGCTTTTTTGTCCCTCCTTATATTACTTTCAAAATCATTCTCATTGTTTAATAATATTGGAAATTGCATTCAAAATCACAACATACAAATAAAAAACAGAAGAAAAATTATTATAACGTAATCAATTAATGTATAAAGGTTAAGAGTTTTGTTCCTTCCATGTTAGCACAGTTGTAGATTTCTATATTTCTTCTTCTGTAGTTTTTTTTTATTGTTGTTGAAGTACAAATGTCTTCATTTTCTCCCCACCACTACCCCCCGCCCCAGCAATTCCTACCTCCTTCCTCTGGTCCCACCCCCTGGGTTTTGTCCATAGGTCCTTTTGTTCCTGAAAACCCTTCCCCCATTTCCCCCCATTACCCCCTCCAACCTCACCTCTGGCTACTGTCAGTTTATTGTTAATTTCAATGTCTCTGGTTACATTTTGCTTGCTTGTTTGCTTTGTAAGGGAAATTATATTTGCCAGTGATACCTCAGACAAGGTTTTAATCTTCAAAATGTATAAAGAACTCACATGACTCCACACCAGGAAGAAAAACAGCCCAATTAAAAAATGGGCAAAAGACATAAGCAGACACTTCTCCAAGGAGGACATGCAGAGGGCCCAGAGATAAATGAAAGGATGCTCAGCATCACTAGTCATCAGAGAGATGCAAATTAAAACCACAGTGAGATACCACTTCACACCAGTCAGAATGGCCATCATAACCAAATCAACAAACAAGTGTGGAGAGGATGTGGAGAAAAATGACCCTGGTCCACTGTTGGTGGGAATGCAGATTGGTGCAGCCACTGTGGAAGCAGTGTAGAATTTCTTTAGAAAACCACAAATGGAGCTACCTTTTGACCCTGCAATTCCACTGCTGGAATTGGATCCTAAGAACCCTGAAACACCAATCCAAAAGAACCTATGCACTCCAATGTTCATAGCAATACAATTTACAATAACCAAGTTCTGAAAGCAACCTAAGATAGCTATATGCCTATATGCCTTTAGCTATATGCCTTTAATGGCTTCTGCATCTCACAGCAACATGAAGGATCCTTTTAAGATATTCTGCTGCCTTTGACAGTTGCTGGTTGGATTGTTGGAAACATGCACTTGCGATTTCCTCCTTGCTCATGAATTATCATTCCCAAGTCTTTAAATAGTTCATTAATATCCATAACAACAGCTTACACTTGCCTAGTAGAAGTCTTCCTCTGATGACAAGGCTGAGGTCATCCTCTGTTAATTCCCTCATCCTTCACCTGCACTTGAGGGTGAGTTTGGCTTTTCCAAGACGCAAAATTCCTTTCTTTTGAGCTCTCCTCAGGAAAATCACCAGATGCTCTGGAACTGTCTCCCCACTTGAGCAACCAACTCTTTCTCTGTCTCAGCAGCTGGACTTCAGACCTTTGGAAAGTTGGTCAGTGATGTGAACTCAGTCACTAAGCAATCCTACTGTATTTTCCTCTGATGCAGTTCACTGTGTGTGGTGGACACAGGTTCGAACTGTTTAATGGACTTCTTTGTTTCTTTGGCCAGTTGGTTAGGATACTGTTGCTTCTGCTCAAATCCTGGAGAAATGTGAGGTGTTCCAAGTTCCTTCAGAGTCATCTGCATTTCCACAGAACATTGTGTGATCTAATGTTGGATATGCAGCGTCAGCTGGGTGGGGTCACCTACAATTCCTGGAGTGCAGGAGGTGGTTGATTTGCTTATTCACTTATTTTGTCAAATGTTGGTGGGCTGTGCAGTTTACTTAGCCATCACACCAGAGTCCTCAGCTTCCTTCTCCTCCTTCTGCACAGCCAACTTCCATTGTTTTTACAAATTCAAATCAGTATACTAACATTTACTTGATTTCTCATAAAATTTGTTTTCTCATAGAATTTTATGCATATTTTCAATGTGTTTATATGGATTGGAGTCTCCCATAGAAACAGTAATAATTCTGACTTGTGGACAAATGGCTCAGTTTTCTTTTCCAAACTGTAAGTTCTTTGAGAATGCATTTATTTTATTCATTCATGCTTTCTCCATCAGGTATTAATCTTAGAAATAAAAAGCAATGTGTGAACAACTATATGAATGAACTGTTTCTGTGGAAAAATTTTAACAAATATTCAGTATTAGTATGTAACTGTTACTCTATATACATTGTTTATTACTAAAATATTAACATATATTATCAGATTAATGAATTGTTATCTCTGTATTTCAGATTTTCAAAAACTTCAGAGTTGGACAAGAAATGTGCATTTGGGGATTTTGAAGCACAAAAGCTCTACTTGGCATCATGTTCAGGAAAAAAACACTATGCTTGTAAGCACCAGGCAGTGTGGCTCACCTAAACTTGGTACAATGTTACTCTCACCATCTCTAAAGAACACATTTCTAGTTCCTTCAAGAATGCTGCAATTATTTTGTACTACTTTTTAAAGAAATTATTTTGCACCAGTTTTATTTTCATGAAAAAATGAAGAGGAAGGTACTAAAATTTCCCATGTTCCCCTGAATGCAGAGCATCCCCATTATCAGCATCACTCAGCAGAGTGGGATGTTTGTTACTGAGAGTGAGTCTGTACTGACACGTCGTAGTCACTTAAAGTCCATGCTGTATCTGACACTTCATCCTTGGTATTGGAGAGTTGTTTTAAACTTATATTCATGTTAACTTTTAAAAATATGTATCCAGGTATATATTATACATTTTAAATTTTCTGTTATTCATTAAAATAAATTGTGTATACATTATTAATTATAATATCAAGAATTTGTTATTTCTAAGTATATAATGACAAGAATAATTTCACACACCTTTTCAAATTAACTGATTTGTCCTGGCCTTGAATGTTGAAAATGAAGACTGAACATCTGATGGTGGCACAGTGAGTAAGTCAGTGGAGTCAGTGCAAAGAAAGCAGGGGAAGTTCAATTTCAAGGTTTATTAACTATTTTTCAGAGATAGCCTGCAGAGAAAGAAAGAAGAAAATTATAAAATGTGCCATAGGGTTAATTAAAGAAGGGTACCAAAAGGAAGAGTCATGTGGGAGCCAGGTCTACCTCCTCAGGGATGGTTTTCAGACTTTCTGGCAGAGAGTGGTCACTACAGAAAACTCTATGGCAGACATGTTCACTGGACGGCTTCAGGAGAGAGCAGGTCCCAGTCTGCAGGCTGATGTGGGTGAGGATGGATCTCACAGTGTGACTGGCAAGTAGGATGACCTCTCTGACAAAGTGTCAACAGGCCGAGGCTGGAGAAGCGGAGCTATGGCTGTGACTACTCACAAAAACTTGCTGGAGGGTGAATACCACAAGAACTTCCTGCATGCATGCAGATGTCAGCCACAGCACTGTAGCAAAGGAGAGAAAACAGCATGAAACCAGGAAGAGAAGTCCTTTCTCCCAGTGACCTTTACTGAGAAAATGTCAAGTGGGATGACTGGAGAAAAGGTTGTAGGATCTGTTGCCATTATCTCAGAATGGGCAATATGTATAGATTTGGAGCACAGAAAACTAAATTCTTAATTGGCACTCAAGGTCACTATACAACAACCCCAAGGATTCTATAGAAAAGCCATGTGACTATACTCCACTTGCTCAGAGAAAAGAACTAACACAAATATCTTCTGAATCTATTTTTATGCAATATTGTTAAAGATTAGAGTAATTTTTTGGTAGAGACTGGTCTTTTCACTGGATAGTAATCAGTGTCCTCTGATACTTTTTTACATGTCCGTTTTTTTCCTTTCCTGGATTTTGGATATTTTGGAGGGTACTTTGTTTTACTAAATTCTCTGTCTCCCCTTTTCATACTCCTAATAAATCTGCTTTGAAGTATACTTTGATGGGAAATATAAAATGTTGAATAATGAAGAAAAAATTTAAAGGATAATATATCCATGTGAAAGTTAGTTATTGAGAGAATGTGCAATAAACTTTCATAGTTTGACAATAACTCTGAGATAATTTTACTATAATACAATTCTAAATAAAAAAGATCCTATACCCACTTATTATTTGCAAAATAAGTTAATAATTCCTACACAATTATCTCTTTGAATGTAGACATAGTCTTTATATTCTCCATATACATTCCTTATATTCATATGCAGAAAATATGTGGGTATCAAAATTAATTTTATGTAATATGTATATTGAATCTGTATCTACTTACTGAAATTGTGTTAACAAACAACCCAATTGCACTGGCATTTACAAACAAAAATTTATTTTACCCAATTATTTCTGTTACCCATTTGTGGTTTCATTGGCTTTCAGTTGACAAAAGGTAGGCATGTATGGGCTTAGCTCCAGACCACAGATTCAGTTCTTATCTTTTTCTATATACTTTATTGGTATGTGACCTTCTCATAGCTATTATCAGCACTTTCAGCAGTTGCAGCAGAAATGTGCTTCTTAATAACTGTGCTTGGAACTCATAAACTAGTACTTTTGCAATTAAATTATACTATCTAAACAAGTCACATGGCCAACCTTATTAATTTTCTGCAAAGAATATAATCTTCTTATAGTGGTCAGAGAAAAGAAGTGTAGATTCACCAAAAAATAATGTCATCTATAATAATAGCCATAGGAACACGTGCAGAAGAGACTAGTGTACCAGCAGTTATGACCCCCTGTGGGAGTTATGGAAATCTAAGAGGTCAGAGTATGACATATCCACATGCACTACAGAGCTACATTGTTCTTCAGATCATTTCAATACTGCCAGATATGTTTCTTTGTATTTTAACTGAATTAATTATCAAGTTAATAGAAATATCATTTCATGATAAAAAAAAATTCTCAAATTTTAAGTATCAATTCTCAATAAGTGTAGAGAAATAAACAGAAACCATCACACTCTTGAAGAGAAATCACTAAATGAAATGATCAAAGACAATATTTCCAAATAAAAGTGGTCAAGCTTCCTGGGATGATCTTGGAAAATGGTGACTTTTGTTAAAATCTGTTCATCTCAACAGCTGCTTCTCTGACATAAAGTGACTCTGACAGCAGCATCATAGAGATTGCAGAGTCTGTCTGAAATGCTCTGCCCTCACAGATGTTCAGTGTAAATTTAAAAAAAAAGAAATAAACAAGGTATGGGAGTGAGGAATGTCTTTGAGACCATAAAGACTGATATTTTATGAAATTAGGGGCATTGCTAGTTTTCACACCAACTCCATGTCTCTGTCCAAATATTGCATTCCCAGTGGATCCCAACAGAATTGCAGTTTCCTCTCAGGATGGCACTCCCAATTATTCTACATTTTTTCAAAATGTTTTAAATCAGGAGTTATAGCTCCAAACACCATATATTTTAATGTTTTTTTTGCCTTACACCACACACATTTACTCTATCAAAGTTGTGAAAACTTGACCTTTGAAATCAGTGTGTCAACAAGATTATCTTCATTGTGAAGATCCAGGAGAGACTCTGGACCAAGCATTTCTCTTACTGTTGGGTGGAGCCCTCAGTCCTTGGCATCACTTGGCTTCCAGACATCTTACTCCAGTCTCTGCCTCTGTCATCTCATTGTTCTCATCCTGTGTGTCTGTCTCTGTGTCCAAATGTCCCTCTTCTTATAGGATATCATATGTATTAAGACTCTTCCTACACCAGTGTGATTTTATCTTAACTTGATTATATTTGTAAAGTCCTTATTCCCAAACAAGATCATATTTCCAGGCTCTAGTAGTCATTAATTTTAGGGTTGGAGAAGGTATGGACATGTGATAATATAAAATGACTTAAATAAGCAGATTAATGTCCAAGTAGTTTGTTTGGGTATCATTGTAACTGAAAATCATATTTTGTCTGGTGAAAACTGAATTCCAACCATGTGTATATTAAAGGTTGGGAGTATGATGTCAATGGTCTCAAAAGAGAGGGGGGTGGAAATGTTCTGTCATAAATTCAGAAGCAACAGTCCACTGAAAATTTATGCTTCCATGACATTTCTAATCTTTCAACATTTTTAACACTTTAAAATATAACAAACAAAACCCCAAATAAACTGCTTTTATTAGAGAGAAATGATAATTACTTTTGAGTAATTACCTAATGCACAGGTGCATATATATCACATTTTGCACAAAACCTAAATTTCTTAATTTTATCAACATTGTGTATTTTATTTTTTCCACAGATGAAACTCTTTTATTCCTTTAGGGGCTGATAAGATACATTCTATAAAATTTAAATGACACAAATCAATCTATATAAGTATCACAAAAGGTGATTGGTAATAGAGACCAATTAACTAGAATTACTACCGTAAAGTGGGAGAAAATCCACAAATATGCAAAAATCCACATGCTGTCTGATGATGTAAAATTACAGGATCTCATCCACATGTAGGTTATTCAGCATTTTCTGGTTAATATAAAAGATTGCTGTATAAATTACTTAAGTAGACTGTCATTTCCTTAATCTGAGTTGATCTCATGTCAAGAAATATCAAAATTTAATTTGAAATACAGGCAAATCTGTCTTTAATATACCTACCTTATAGTTCAAAGATGTAGATGTACAATTTATATAGTTTGCAATGTGTTTATTACCTGCTTAAAATGACCTACTCTTTTTATAGTTCCTTCATAACATTAGCACCTGTCGATAAAGTTTGTTTAAAAGATTCTTTTCCAAACCGAATGGTAATTCTTTGTCTATTTATGCTTCAGAGTTTAAAAAGTCTTGCTTGTACTATCCTATAATATTTACTCATTCTGACAGTTTAAGGAAAGAGTGAAAAAGCAGAGAGGAAGATAACTACACAAAGAATGGCAACACACCTGATACCTGAGGCTAGATATTATTTTGAGTGAATATTTCCATGAATACTCATTTTAGACTAATTCATACAGCTAAGCCAATTGCTTACAAAGTAAAAACATCAGTCAGATTATTGTTTCTATCTCCAATGTTGTAATGAAAATAATTTCCTCGATACCATAAATACATTTTTTTATTTTATTTGTTAAGATAATTAAGAATTAATGTATTAAAATTTAACCTTAAAACTTTAAATAGTTTATTCTTTTTCTCTCAAAATAAGAAAACATCTGTTAACCTTTTTCCCCTCAAAGGACAGGCATATCATATTCTTAAGGAAAGTTGTTTGTGTTAGCTTTTCTAGTAATGAAGTGCTTGTTTTTAAGACCATAGTTTCTTCACTTAATTTTCTAAACTCAATTATGCTTCTAAGAATCTAACAGGTAATGAGTAATAAGATTGTTCACAGGACTTTCAAAAGTTGCACTTGGAAACCAACCATATGGGTAAACACATTTGCCAATGATACCTAGGACAAGGGTTTGATCTCCAAATATATAAAGAACTCACATGACTCTACTCCAAAAAAACAAACGATCCAATTAAAAAATAGTCGAAGGACCTGAACAGATGTTTCTCCAAAGAGGACATACAAAGGGCCCAGAGACATATGAAAGGACGATGACCATCACTAGCCATCAGAGAGATGCAAATTAAAACCACAGTGAGATACCATTTCACCCCACTGTGAATGGCCATCATAAACAAATCAACAAACAACACATGCTGGCAAGGTTGTGGAGAAAAGGGAACTCTAGTGCACTGTTGGTGGGAATATAGATTGGTGCAGCCACTTTGGAAAACAGTATGGAATTTCCTCAAAAAACTAAAAATGCAACTACCTTTTAATGAAGCCACTCCATACCTGGGATTATACTCTAAGGATCCTGAAACACCAATTCAAAAGAACTTATGCACCCCAATGTTCATAGAAGCACAATTTACAATAGCCAAGAGCTGGAAGCAACCTAAGTGCCTATCAGTAAATGAGTGGATCAAACAACTGTGGTACATTTACACAATGGAATACTATGCAGTAGAAAGAAAGAAGGAGCTCTTACTTTTTGTGACAGCATGGATGGAACTGGAGAGCATTATGCTAAGTGAAATAAGTCAGGTGGTGAAAGACAAATACCATATGATCTCACCTATAATTAGACATTAATCAACCAAGCAAACAAGCTAGCAACATAGAACCAGAGACATGGAAATAAAGAACAAACTGACAGTGACCAGAGGGAAGGGGAGGAGAGGGATAACAGGGAGAAAGAAGGTAAATAAGCAAGCCAAGGAATAGCAATAGAGGACTCATGGGCATAGACAATTCAGTGGTGATTGACTGTGGGAGTGAGTGGGATGGGGCAGGGGAGAGTAATTGGAAAAGTGGGGGGACAACTATAGCTGAACAACAATTAAAAAGAGTAGGATTTCTGAGATTTTATTTAGAAACTATTCCTACTAGATATTTATGTTTTGAGGATAGGTTATATAGGAAACATTAATATAGAGGATCAAGAAACTATAATCTGTTTAGTAAAAAAGTTGCAGTTGGAAAATGCAATAAAACCATATTATAGAATTTCTTTTTTAACTTTAATAAATGCAATTGTATTTTATGTTTTTATTTTTCAATTCATTTCATTATTTTTCATTTTATTTTTCACTCCATTTTATGTTTTTTATTTTTCAGTTGACCTCTAATGTTATTAGTTTCAAGTGTACAGCATAGTGGTTAGACATTTTGTACTTATAAACATTCCCAAGTCTAGTACCCATGTGGTAGTATATATAGTTATTTCAATATTATTGACCATATTATTTATGCTTTACATACCCATGACAATTTTGTAAGTACCAATTTATAAAATTTAATGACTTATATGCAGCAGGGTTGCATAATAACAGGGCTTTTGTCATTTATAGTATATATTTCTATTAAAATATTGACAACTAATTATGATTGGAGAATGGATTAATGAATAATAAGTAGTAATTTAATATTTTAATCTCTTACATTATGGTATAGTGCAATGTTGTTTAATATTTTCTCCACAGAGGCATTTATTTTTATTAAGGGAAAGATTAAATTACTTATAAAATAATACAATTAATGCACCAATTATAAAAACAAAGACAGAGAGATTGAGAAGATAAGTTTGTAATGAATATTTGCAACAGTTACCATAGGTTGAAAATGTAGACTTTTTTCATAATGCTAGTGACAGATATCATTAAGTACCTATTGTTAATGAAATTGTGATTTCACATTTTTTCATTATACAAAAATAAAATTAGGCAATGCCAATATTTAGCAACCTTGTCTAAGAGTAGAACTTTAATATCTAAGACATGCTTAACAAGGCCTAAATTTTCAGTGTTTGTGATTTTTAAGCTGAAAATAAGTTAACAGTGTGGGTGGTCAAGTCTTTGGCCCCACAAGTCTTTTAATATGAAAACAATTTCTCAGAGGAACTTATCAATGGACAAACTAAATGACACTCTACAAGCTCACAGTCTCCTAGATTCTGCAGGTGTGTGATGAGATAAACCCTCTTCAAAATTGCCCAAGTATAAGAATTTCCTGCTCAACTTTTAAGTGACACACTGATGAGAAATCTACATTTTTCTACTTTTGCTTCATTCTCAGTCCTCAGGGGGCAGTCTGAAGACCACAGACATTGTTTGTTTGCCGGCGTAACTTGGTCTTCCCTAGAGGATGCATGACTTTCTGGCTTCCAAAGGTATGTGACTACTTTCAGATATCTCTGCTGAACTAATTCATTTAATCGAAAATTACAAATGCTAAATGTGATGCAACTGAAGTACAACTAATACATAATCAAATAAAAGAAAACATTGGTATCCTTTCCTGTACAATTTAGGGTAAAAAGAGTAAAATATGAAATACTTTGAAGGATATTTTAAAATATTCAAATTTTTGCCTATGCAAAATTACTAACGAACATACATACATGCATATTTGGGTTTGAAAATCATTTTAACTTAAATGAAAAGCAGTAAGCATCAATACAAGGAACCGGTAACTTTGGATTTTATAATTAATAGATATAATTATATATGTATATTACTTTATATTTACTGCAGACTATAAAAATAGAAGTGAATTCTTACAGTGAATTCATCATATCATTCATGGAGGTCAAACATAATTCCTCATACATGCACTTCAATGAAATAAAGCAGTTTCACTTGAAATAAAAATTAGGGTTTAGTGGCCTCTGTAAAATGCTTATTAATCTAAACTACAAATGATCAAAAGATCTTTAGAAATTGAACAAAACAGTGCAAAAACCGCAGTGCACTGAAAAGAGACTACTGACATTTATTTGACTTATGTTGCATGGTCTGATATAAATAAAATGGTAATATGGTTATTGTTTTATCTTAGTTAAAATGAGTAATATGTTGAAAGTTTATAGATGTCAGATTGAGCATTGTGTTTTACATGCATTGTATCTTACACATTTTATTCCCAATTTAATTAGTAAACTAGGTAAGAAGACACTAATTTTTAAAAGTCAGACATTATCAATTTCAAAGTTAGCGTTTAATCCAGATCTCACTGACTGCAGAGCCCAATGTGTGTGTTACATTTGCCTGCGCACTGAAGCTGCCTTCACAGAATGTGACAGCCGTGGGACCTTTCTGCACTTTTGCACCAACAGTGCTCCTCCGTAAATGATCTACAGCACATTTATTTATCATTTCATGGTTTTATATCTTCACCATTAAATAAACTGCAAGTTACTTGTGTAAAGAATGTTAAAAAATCCTTTCTGCTCTATTGCTTTTGTTATTTATTAAGCTTTGGATAACTTTAGTGTGTCATGTAACATTTTTAATAGGTGATGTATGTCATTAAAATTTAAATGATTTCTCAGAACTCTACAATTATTCAAAATAAAATATTATTTGGTGGCCCCTCATCTGTCCTTTTACTAAATAATTATAAGTGACTAAATTAAATTAAATAATTGCAGTTAATTACCATGTATGCTAACACTACTATTCCCCTAACTTTAGAACACTCGATCTTTAAATATTAGTGGATTTAGAAATTGTCACAGAAATAGGTGCATTGTTTTTTTCCATACAGCATTTTAATTTTCACAGTTATTCTGTTAAAATATTTCAGTGGAATCAGACTTTAATAAAAGTATTATTCTGAACCTCTTCACTAACATATTACTTTTCATTGATTCAACCAATAATACCATGTCAAGCACAGAGTAAAATTTTCAAAATCATTATTCTATCCTGAAACATTTAAATGCCTAAGTCAATTACAACAAGACTTCACACTGGTCAAATGAAATGTGAGTACTGTTTCTTCCCTCACGCTCCACCCACACTGACTCTCCTGGGGATCCTGTGAGTGTTCACATCACGTATTAACACTGAAGGACTGTCATCACAGACACCATCCCTGACGTTACTCAGCTGCAGAGATGGATCTCCAGCGAGAAAATGACTCAGAACTGAATCTGGCTGAGGACTCCAGGACAGAGCAAAGGAAAAGCAAGGGCATGAAAAGTTCCATTTTACGAACTGAACAGCAAATGTCCTCTGTGGAAATAGAGTTTCCAAATGCTTCTGAAGATCTTCAAGGAAATGACAAGGACCACTGCACAGGTGACACATTTAATAGACACACTGTATAACTGTTCTGGGATGTTCAGTTGGTGTGAAGAAGTGTGGGGGAAAGAGTAGGGAAGTAACTCACATATATTGCATTTGTGAGGATCAGAGCTTAATATTGCAATACAGTATTCTAGTATGATATCTGAGGACTAATTTATTCAGACATTGTTGTAAAGTGTAGTCTTTGACCAACAACTCAGAGAGCAAATATTTTCTGACAATGCAATGCCGTATTCCGAGAAGACTGCAGTGGTAGACATGGTTTTAGGGAGCTTCGAGTTTATTTATATGAATCTCTGTGCATGTGGGTTCTTCTCTATAAAACTTGTCTAAACAATATCTCCATTTTTCTTTTTTCTTGCTGCAGATTTGCCATCACCACCAGAGAAGCTTATTGCTGGCATCCTGGGATTCATCTGCTTTATCTTGATGTACACTGTATTAAGAATGGTACATTTTATTCCCTGTAAGTTTTTGTAATATTTTAAGAAAATTTCTCACCTTAATGAAACTCACTCCTTCTAAACATTTTATAATATTACAGAAAAGAATTCTCATTTTAAAGTAAGCATTTAGATAAATGTGAATGTTATTCTGAATTTGTCAAATGCATAACAATGATTTCAGAGAACATTTTACATATATTTATATATTCTGATGTCAGAACTAAAAAGCATGGTTTAGGAAATTAAAGACCTTATTGAGAAATACAAATTAATTCTTGAGATTGCTTAGACCAATATTGTAAGAAATGAGAAAGTGTGATCCTACAGCCTTTTGAAATATTTTTCCCCAAATCTTCATTATTTTATTAATTTTTCTTGGTTAAATCAATTTTATTTCAGATTTTTCTGCTCTTAAATGATACACCAAATTTCAAATTAAAATTATGCCTTGACTGGTGTAGCTCAGTTGGTTGGTCATCATTTCACAAAGGAAAAGGTCTCCAGTTTGATTCCCAGTCAGGGCATATACCAGGGTTGCGGACCATTCCCCAGTAGGAGCACGTAGGGGAGGCAACCAGCCGATGTTTCTGTCACACATTGATGCTTCTCTCCCCCTCTTTCTCCCTCCATTCCCTGTTCTCTAAGAATAAATAAAAACAATATATTAAAAAGAAACTAAATTTATGATTATTTATTTTTATAAATATTAATTTCATTATAAGAATCACTGTAAATTTTTCTAGGTACTATAAAGCTGGAGCAGAGTAATCCATCCACAGTAACAATATTGGAGAAAGGTACATTATGATTTTCAAAGTTCTCTGGTTAGTACAGGTTATATTTTTCTCTATTTTAGGGAAGGTAAGAATATAATCTACTTTTAGGGGGAGAACATATGACAGTAAATGTGCATAAATAACAATTGTAAAAGAGTGTTTCTTCTTATGCAATAATATGAAAAACTATATATTAAAATCACCATGCCCAGCCCTGGCTGGCGTAGCTCAGTGGGTTGAGCGCGAGCTGTGAGCCAAAGTGTCGCAGGTTCAATTCCCAGTCGGGGTACATGCCTGGGTTGCAGGTCATGACCCCCAGCAACTGCACATTGATGTTTCTCTCTCTCTCTCTATCTCCCTCCCTTCCCTCTCTAAAAATAAATAAATAAAATCTTAAAAAAAAAATCACCATGCCCAGCCCTGACTTGGTGCCTCAGTCCTTTGGAGTATAGTCCTGTACACCACAATGTTGCAGTTTCAATCCCTAATGAAGCCACTTACCTAGGTTTTTGGTTCAATCCCCTTTCAGAGCATGTACAGGAGGCGACCATTTGATGTTTCTCACATCATGTTTCTCTCTCTCTGTTTATCTCCCTTCCTCTCTCCTTAAAATCAATAAGCATATACTTGGGTTAGGATAAAAAAATAAATGAATAAAATTAAATCACCACTCCCATTGTTGCCAGTAGGTTCAAATGTCCTACTGCTCTAATATGATGAGACAAATAACATTGCTATTTTAAAAAAAGAAAAAAGTGGTTTCAATCATTGACTTCCTAGGCATAGAAAGTGGATATTTTTGTTTGTGTGTGTGTTTTATATGGGCACATAAATTAGGGGATGAAGTGTGCATGTGAGTGTTTTTTGTTTTATATCTTGAGCCTGTGAGTGTGCATAGGTAGTATGTAAGTTAATTTTTGTTTTTAAATTCAAATTGTCTTCAGTTTAAAAATTCATACTCTTTCTTCAGAACACTATTGTGGTCTTTGTCTACCGGAGTGGTTTATGTATTTCAACCATTGCTATTACCTTGGTACTGAACAAAAAACATGGACTGAGAGTTTGATGGCCTGTGCTTCTAAGAACTCTAACCTGCTCTATATAGATAATAAAGAAGAAATGGTAAGATCTCCAATATTTCCAACATTTTATTTAAAATATCTTTTAGTTTATGTCTGTAGAATTCATTCATTTGTTTGTATACATTTGTAGTTTATTTATTTTAAAGGCTGTTAATCTTTTATTGTTTAAATCTATAATATTTTGTGTATATTATTTATATTTACATTTTTTATATTTATATTTTCTATCATTAATTCATGTTTGATAATTTCTAGTTCTTGCCTTTTGTTGACAACCATGCTTCTATAAATGCTTTCTTTCTAAAGTAAACTTTGCTACTTAATTTTACCATGCATCATGAAAACTAAAGATATCATGGTTATGCTTATTACAAACTGAAGTGACCCAGGTAATTACAAATTAGATCATGAAATAGATGTTTCTAGTCCACCCGCTCCTGTGTACTCTCTTATAGCTTCTCCTCTCTCCTCACTTAGCCACTATTCTGTTATTGTATAGTAAAAATTATCTTTGCTTAATTTTGAACTTTATATAATGGGAATCATTAATTATACATGTTATATGCCTCTTTTAATTCCCACATGATATTTTTACAATATATCCATATTATTGCATATACCTGTAGTTGATTAATTTGCACTTCTGTATTATGTATACATGACATTTTTCACCTATTCTACTCCAAGTATAGTTTTTTAAATATGTGGATATTAATAATTATTTTATAAAATTATTTTTCTTCTAATATATTTGTCCTTTCAAATATATTGTATTAAATAATTTATTATATGAATCTTACACATAATATACATTTATATTTTATAAATATATTATTAATAAAACAAAAATTTATAAATATATTTATGTTATTACCATTGTATACATGTTTTATTATGATGTACTATCCTGTTTGCATCAGAATAAAATGGCAGGGTCATAAATATATGTATATGCCAATTTATTAGATTATCCCATCATTTTCTAGCTTATTGTGTAAATACACATTTTACCCAATAGTTTCATGATCCCAAACTTAGTACAGCTAGGAATTTTAATGCCGTCATTTCTGATCATTATATGAAGGTATTATTATAACATTAATAGCCATTTTTCTGATTACTGGTAGAACAAACACATTTTTTGGAGCACTATTCATTATGAAATTCTCTATTGTGAAAATGAGAAGTGCCTGTTCATGCTTCTTGGCCATTTCTCTTGTATGTTGCCTGTTATTTTCCTTCCTAGCAGTTGTTATAATTTGGATATGACTCGTTTTTGAAATTGTAAGATACAAATAGCTTTTGACTGTTCATTACATTTTTCTTCTCACACTGGAGTCTTGAAATAACCAGAATTTAATGTTACCATAGTCCAATATCTCATTTTAGTTGTTAGTGATTATTTTGCACATATATCAGAAATTAGTCAAAGTTCATGGAGATATCCACTACATTACTTTTTAAGGTTTATATGTTTTCTTTATTCATCAGCTTTTACACTTAGGTTTATGATAGTTTGAGAATTCATATTTTTGTGATGCTGTGCTTTGATGCTGTGTGGTAGAGTTGAAGTTTATACTGTTCTACATCATTATCTAATGATGAAGCATAATATGGGAGATGATATTTACTTCATAAACAACCTTATATATGTTTATATTTTTTAACATGAAATTTAAGAAGTTCACTTATTGTGTTTAAAAAATTATTTTTCAGTCTTCTGTCTCTGTATTTTCAGGCAACTTTATTTCTATGTTGGTTTTCTTAATAAAGTTCTGAAGATCTCTGAGGCTCTATTACTTCTTCTCTTTTTCCCTGTGTAGCCTCAGAAATTAACAATTTCTATTAATCCATCTTTAATTTCATCAATTCTTCTGCATCTCAAAATTTATGTAAATATAGTAAACTTTTTAAGGTAAGTAATGAATCTTTTAACTCAGAATTTTTATTTGATTCATTCATATATTTTTATTTCTTTATTGTTCTTTCACTGCCATCATATTTTCATATAGTTATTTGAACATAGGCTTTTAATAATTTATACAAATATATATTTATAATAATTACTATAAAAATTTTCTGATAAATTCAACATCTTATCCATGTAAAAGTTAGATTCTATCAACAGATTTTTCCTGTGAATATGGAAGGCATTTTTCAGTTTCTTTGTATGTTTTTTAATTTTTGTAAGGACATATTGTTGATGATATAGCATAGGAAATCTGGACTCTCCTTCCTCTTTCTTAGATTTATATTGTTGTACCTTGAGTAAACTCTTACTGTAAAATCTCCTTTCTTTTTTGGAAGTGTGCTCACTCAGTGTTTAAAATTCTCATTATTTATTTTTATTTTTAGCCTGGATTACTAGGGATTCCCCTTGTATATAGACATAGCTTAGTTGACTATCAATGATTCTATAAATGTCTGAAAAAATTCAAGTCAGTATGGCTTCCTCTTTCTGTTGTAATTCAGTGTGTATGTGTGTGTCAGGGAGTGTTCATAGCTTTCAAAGCAGTTCTTAAGTCCCCTTTGACTGTTTCTTTTTGCTGGATCACCTTTGTTTCTTCTCCACATTACACCCTTTTTTTCCCATCAACCAAGCACATGTAGAGAGCTACTGTCATCTCTTCCGCCATGATATTAATTTTTAGTGTGTTTCTGTTATATTTATGGTGGGTATGGTGCTTGACACAATGGAGAGCTCAGTCTTGGGCTAGAAAAGGATGGTTTGCCTCACTTGGAACCTAGTAAATTCAACATTTGAACTGAAAAAGCAGTGGGCAATTGAGCAACCCCTTCCACTGCTAATCAGGTCTGCCCCTGTGGCAACAACACCATTGATATTTGCAACATTTCCAAAGTTTTATAAATTACAGTTCTTACTAACTGAACTGAGATGGGGAGGGGGGTCTGGGAGCAGTCCTAGACCAGAGGACTACAAATTTTCTCTATGCTTATTTTAATCTCTAGCAGCTTGTCCCAACAATAAATGCTTATGTAATTATTAGTCTCTGATCATCTTTCAGAACTGTGCTGTTATATTTGTCCATTTGTCTTCTTCACTTAAGCACACTAATACATTTTCCTAATGTGTCCAATATGTAACAATATATTATAATTTGAAAGATTACAATTAGTAAAAATTAACTTTATTTGATTTTCATTTGTAAGATCACATTTATTTTGGTGGTAAATATACAATTTACCTAGTTGCTTTATATTTTATTTATTTATTAAATAAATTTATTATTTATTGAAGTCTCATAGTTTATCATATAAAACATTGCCTTTATTTTCAAACTACTATATAAGAACATTATAAAATACAAATTATAAACTAATAAAGTCCTCTTTACAGTATTCATATTAGTACATTAAAACACCATTGATCTATGTCCTGGACAGGTAGATTAGCTGATTAGAGCATCGTCTCAATACACTAAGGTTGAGGATTTGATTTCCTGTAAGGATACATACAAGAAGCAAACAATAAATGAATAAATAAATGGAACAACAAAATGATATTTCTCTCCCTTCTCAAATCAATAAAAATAAATTAAAAAACAAAGCAAAATAACAACATTGATTTAAAAAGGCAAGTGAGTTAATTGGCAAACATCTAATTCCTTTTTTAATGAAGAATATTAAACAATGGCCACCTTTGTATGAAAATGAAGAACAACTTTAATCTTATACATTTGGAAACTTGTGTTCTTTAAATTACCAACTTTAGAATAGTCACAACAATGTAAAGCTCAATATAGAGAATATAGTCAACAATATTCTAATAACCATGCATCATAACAATTGGACACCAACCCATTGGGGTGATCATCTAGCAAGGTATACAAATATCCAATCAATGCACTGTATACCATAAACCAAAATGATATTGAATGTCAACAGTAACTGAAAAACAATTTTTTTAAAGTTGCTCTTCAAAATGAGTTCTCTCAAAATATCAATGAGGCATTTTTTCTGAGGTAAATTTATTTGTTTCCAAAATCATTCTCATTGTCTAATAGTAACAAAAACTACATCCAAATCTCAACATACAAATGAAAACCAGAAACAAAATATAATAATATACTCATTTTAAATATAAAGGTGGTACTAACTGTTGTAGCTCACTCAGGTGGTTGTCATTCTGCAAAGTGGAAAGGTTACTGGTTCGATACCCAGTCAGAGCATATGCTTGGCTTGATGCGAGTTCAATCCATGGTAGAGTGACAACAGATTGATATTATTCTTTCTCCTTCCCTTCACCTCTCTCTAAAAATAAACAGATAAAATATTTAAAAGATAAATAAAATAAAATATCAAGGTTAAGAGATTTGTTCCATTCTTCAATACTAACCCATTTGTAGATTTCTATATTTCTTTAATGGCTTGTGAATCCAACAGCAACATGCAAGATTCTTTTTCTGATGTTCTGCTCTCCTTGACAATTGCTGGTTGGCTTGTTAACTGCACCCGTGCATTTTCAACTTTGGCTTCTATGCTATGTATCATACTTCATTGCTCATAAAGTACCATTCCCAAATGTTTAAATAGTTCATTAATATCCATAACACCAGCTTAAACTTGCCTAGCAGAAGTCTTTCTCTGATGACAAGGCTGAGGTCATCCTCTGTTAATTCCCTCATCCTTCACCTGCACTTGAGGGTGAGTTTGGCTTTTCCAGGACGCAAAATTCCTTTCTTTTGAGCTCTCCTCAGGAAAATCACCAGATGCTCTGGAACTGTCTCCCCACTCGAGCAACCAACTCTTTCTCTGTCTCAGCAGCTGGACTTTAGACCTTTGGAAAGTTGGTCAGTGATGTGAACTCAGTCACTAAGCAACCCTACTGTATTTTCCTTTGATGCACCTCACTGCAGGTGGTGGACACAGGTTCAAACTGTTTAATGGACTTCTTTGTTTCTTTGGCCAGTTGGCTAGGATACTGTTGCTTCTGCTCAAATCCTGGAGAAATGTGAGGTGTTCCAAGTTCCTTCAGAGTCATCTGTATTTCCACAGAACATTGTGTGATCTAATGTTGGATATGCAGCATCAGCTGGGTGGGGTCACCTACAATTCCTGGAGTGCAGGAGGTGGTTGATTTGCTTATTCACTTATTTTGTCAAATGTTGGTGGGCTGTGCAGTTTACTTAGCCATCACACCAGAGTCCTCAGCTTCCTTCTCCTCCTTCTGCACAGCCAACTTCCATTGCTTGTACAAATTCAAATTAGTATACTAACATTTACTTAATTTCTCATAAAATTTGTTTTCTCATAGAATTTTATGCATATTTTCAATGCATTTATGTGGATTGGAGTCTCCCATAGAAACAGTAATAATTCTGACTTGTGGACAAATGGCCCAGTTTTCTTTTCCAAACTGTAAGTTTTTTGAGAATGCATTTATTTTATTCATTCATGCTTTCTCCATCAGGTATTAATCTTAGAAATAAAAAGCAATGTGTGAACAACTATATGAATGAACTGTTTCTGTGGAAAAAATTTAACAAATATTCAGTATTAGTATGTAACTGTTACTCTATATACATTGTTTATTACTAAAATATTAACATATATTATCAGATTAATGAATTGTTATCTCTGTATTTCAGATTTGCAAAAACTTCAGAGTTGGACAAGAAATGTGCATTTGGGGATTTTGAAGCACAAAAGCTCTACTTGGCATCATGTTCAGGAAAAAAACACTATGCTTGTAAGCACCAGGCAGTGTGGCTCACCTAAACTTGGTACAATGTTACTCTCACCATCTCTAAAGAACACATTTCTAGTTCCTTCAAGAATGCTGCAATTATTTTTGCACTACTTTTTTAAGACATTATTTTGGTACCAGTTTTATTTTCATGAGAAAATGAAGAGGAAGGTACTGACATTCCCCATGTTCCCCATGTTCCCCTGCATGCAGAGCATCCCCATTATCAGCATCACTCAGCAGAGTGCGACGTTTGTTACTGAGAGTGAGTCTGTACTGACACATCGTAGTCACTTAAAGTCCATACTGTATCTGACACTTCATCCTTGGTATTGGAGAATTGTTTTAAACCTATATTCATGTTAATTTTAAAAATATATATATCCAGGTATATATTATACATTTTAAATCTTCTGTTATTCATTAAAACAAACCATGTATAAATGGTTAATTATAATATCAAGAATTTATTTTTCTAAGTATATACTAACATGAATAGTTTCACACACCTTTTCAAATTAACTGATTTGTCCTGGCCTTGAATGTTAAAAATGAAGACTGAACATCTGATGGTGGCACAGTGAATAAGTCAGTGGAGTCAGTGGAGAGAAAGCAGGGGAAGTTCAATTTAAACATTTATTAACTATTTTTCAGGGATAGCCTGCAGAGAGGGTAGAAGAAAATTATGAAATGTATCATAGGGTTAATTAATGAAAACTACTGAAAGGAAGAATCCTCTGGGGCCCAGGTCTACCTCCCCAGGGATGGGTTTCAGACTTTCTGGCAGAGAGTGGTCACTACAGAAAACTCTATGGCAGACACGTTCACTGGACGCCTCCAGGAGAGAGCAGGTCCCAGCCTGCAGGCTGATGTGGGTGAGGATGCATCTCACAGTGTGACTGGCAAGTAGGATGACCTCTCTGACAAAGTGTCAACAGGCTGAGGCTCGAGAAAGGGAGCTATGGCTGTGACTACTCACAAAAACTTGTTGGAGGGTGAATACCACAAAAACCTCCTGCATGCAGATGTCAGCCACAGCACTGTAGCAAAGGAGAGAAAACAGCATGAAACCAGGAAGAGAAGTCCTTTCTCCCAGTGCCCTTCACTGACAAAGTATCAAGTGGGCTGACTGGAGAAGAGGTTGCAGGATCTGTTGCCATTATCTCAGAACGGGCAATATGTGTAGGTTTGGAGCAGAGAGAACGAAATTCTTAACTGGCACTCAAGGTCACTATGCAACAACCCCAAGGATTCTTTAGAAAAGCCATGTGACTATACTCCACTTGCTCAGAGAAGGCAACCAAAACAAATATCTTCTATTTTGGTGCATCATTTTCAAAGACTAGAATCATTTTTGGTAGAGATTGGTGGTTTTATTGAGAAATAACCAGTGTCCTTTGATATTCACTTACATGTCTTTTTTTTTCCTCTCCTGGATTTTGGATATTTTTGAGGGCATGTTGTTTTACTAAATATTCTGTCTTCCCCTTTTGACACTCCTGATAACTGTCCTTAGAAGCATACTTTGATGGGAAAAATAAAGTGTTAAATAATGAAGAAAAATTAAAGGATAATACATCCATGTGAAAAAAACAGTTAATTATTCATAGAATGTGGGATAAACTTTTGTAATTTGACAATCACTCTGAGATAATTTTACTATAATTCAATTACAAATGAGAGAGATCCTATACCTGCTTATTATTTGCAAAATAAATTAATAGTTCCTACACAACTATCTCTTTGAATGTAGACATTGTCTTAATATTCTGCATATACATTCCTAATATTCATATAGAGAAAAATAAGTGGGTATTCAAATTAATTTCATATTATTTGTATATTTTACCTGTATTTACATGCCAAAGTTGCATTACAGACGACCCAGTTTAGAAGTGTGGTTCTGCTGCCTGCCACCATAGACAAACTCCAGAGGCAGAGATTTGGTGGAAATGGAAGAGGCCATTTATTCAAAAGCTACACAATTTAGAAAGAATGGCAGACATCTGCCTCACAGCCCCTTCCTTACAAAACCCAGAGAAAAATAACCCTGCTACTCTGCCACACCAGTCCAAGGCTGAGCTGGGAGCTCCCTTGTCCGCTTAAAAATACCATCCCGAGAAAATCGCAGGAGGCTGCTGCTGCTGCTGCTGAGATAAGTCAGGCACCTTAACTTGTTCCCGCTTCAGGCTTCTCTCAGGAGTATGTGTGTGCATGGCCCAAGGTGCAATGCCCCAGCCACTTCCTGTGCAGGTGGCTCAGCACCTGCAGCCTGGACTCACATCTTCCAGAGCCAGCAAGTCTGTGCTACCAATGCTCTGGCCCCCAGGGTGAGTGAGGTGAAGAGGGGGGTATGTGTATCTTCCCTCCCCACCATTTAAATTTCCCTGCTCAAAATTCTATACATTCTGGGAGAGTTCTGTTCCCCAGGCAATCCAGGCTGGTGAACAAAAATTTATTTTTTTCATGGTTGAATATTTATTTGTTGTGTGTGTATAACATTCTTTAAAATCAATTCATCCATTGAAAACGCTTAGTTTGCTTTCATATATTAATTATGGTGAATAATGATTCAATGATCCTCAGAGTACAGGCATCTCTTCAAATAATTGTGTCATTTTCTTTGGATATATACCCATAAGTGGGATTGCTGGACTATATGGTACTTCCAATTACAACTAACTTACCAATGATAGATAAACATTTCCTCTTTTCTTTTTTTCACATTTTTTATTGTTGTTCCAGTACAGTTGTCTCAGTTTTCCCCTACCATTTCCCACCACACCAGCCATCATCACTTCCAACCCGTGATTCTACCCCCACATTGGTTTCGTCCATGTGTCCTTTATACTTGTTCCTGAAAACCCTTCCCCTTATTTACCCCCATTATCCCCTTCTACCTCTCCTCTTGTTACTGTCAGTTTGTTCTTTATTTCAATGTCTCTGGTTATATTTTGCTTATTTGTTTTATTGATTAGGTTCCACTTATAGGTGAGATCATATGGTATTTGTCCCTCACTGCCTGGCTTATTTCACTTAGCATGATGCTCTCCTGTTCCATTCATGTTGTCACAAAGTGTAGGAGATCTTTCCTTCTGCTGTGTAGTTTTTTATTGTGTAAGTGTACCATAGTTTTTAGATCCATTCATTTACTGATGGGCACTTAGGTTGCTTCCAGCACTTGGCTATCATAAATTGTGCTGCTGTGAACATAGGGGTGCATAAATTCTTTTGAATTGATTTTTCAAGAATCTTAGGATATAATCCCAGCAGTGGAATTGCTGGGTCAGAAGGCAGGTCCATATTTAGTTTTCTGAGGAAATTCCATACTGTTTTTCAGAGTGACTGCACCAGTCTGCATTCCTAGTACACAAGAGTGTACTAGGGTTTTCTTTTCTCCACAACATTGCCGGCACTTGTTTGTTGATTTGGTTATGATGGCCATTCTGACTGGTGTGAAGGTGTATCTCATTGTGGTTTTAATTTTCATCTCTTTGATGCTAGTGATATTGAGCATCTTTTCATATGTCTCTGGGCCCTTTGTATGTCCTCCTCAGAGAAGTGTCTATTCAAGGCCCTTACCCCTTTCTTAATTGGGTTATTTGTGATCCTGGACTTGGAGTCATGTGAGTTCTTTATATATTTTGGAGATCAAACACTTTTCCAAGGAATCATTGGCAAATATGTTTCCTGCATGATTGGTTCTCTTTTCATTTTAATGTCAGTTTCTTTAACTATGCACACACAAAAATAAACTGAAGGTGGATAAAAGACTTAAATACAAGTCATGACACCATAAAAGTCCTAGAGGAGAACATAGGCAGGAAAATCTCAAATATTCCACACAGGAATATTTTCATCAATATGTCCCCTAGAGCAAGGGACATAAAAGAACAAATAAAGAAATGGGATGTCATCAAAATAAAAAGCTTCTCTGTGGCTAAAGAAATTTACCTTAAATTTAAAACCATATAAATATTTTCAAATTTTTGGTTATTGACTTTTGCTATAGGACAACTGAAGTTACAGAATTTTCTGTGAAGCTGGAAATGTTCTATATCTCTGTTTAAACATGCCTAACATGACTGAGGAACCAATGTTAATTTTTTCATTTTTAATTAATTAAACATTAAAATTGAATAGCCACACTTCAAGTGCTCATTTGCCAACCTTGATTAGTGTCTGCTGCAGTTACACTACATTTCTATTTATATACTTGAAAGTATTAGTATATAGTATATTTTAGACACCTCCAATCAAGATGGCAGCATAGGTAGACATGGTTTGCCTCTTCTTACAGCCAAAACAAAATTACAGCTAAAATATAGAACAACCATCACTCAGAACTGACAGAAATCATGTTGAATGAAAGTCTGACAACTGTGGAATTAAAGAAACCACATCTTTCCAGACTGGTAGGAGGGAAAAAAGATGCAGAATGGGCTGGTCCTACATCCATGCGTGGTGGATAAAAATTCTGGAGGTATATCTTGGGAGTGAGGAGTCCCAGACCCACACCAGGACTCCTGACTCAGGGTTCCAGTACCAGAAGATAAGTCACCACAACTTCTGGCTTTAAAATCCTGTGGTGATTGAGCTGGTGGAAGAAACTTCTGGAGCCCCAAGCAACCCATGTGTGGGTTCTTAAAGAACACACACATGAACTCATGTTAGATTCACTTTCTCTGAGCTCCAAAGTCAGGGAGGGAGCTTGAAGGACACCAATGGTGTGCAGGGGGAGGCTGAAGTTCTGGCATGAAGGTAAGCACGGGCCACTGTGCCTTTTCTGGGGACTCCTCCCACAAAGTAAGCTTATTGGTGCCATTTCTAAGGTTCCATCAACCTGGTTAACAAGTCTGACCCACCTTGGAGATACCCAGAGCCTCTGCTCCAACCAATTTACTGGCCCACCCAAGCCATTTTTCCATATCAATGGGTGGGCTTAGCTCATGCTCCACAATTCCTTCATCCTCTCAAACAAGGAGCAACTGGCCTCAGTGAGCCTCAGGCCAGGAACTAACAGCCTATATTACAGCCTGGCTTCACCTGGAAGTCTCCAAGCCCAGCACAAGTAGCAGCCATCTCAGATTGCTTTACAGCTCAGATGGAGTGGCCCCAGGCAAAACACAGGTGAGGGGTGACCTTGGCCTGCACCACCTGGGACACTGCAAGGGTCAGTGCACCTACCTGGGAGCACTACCATCCTGCCCTTGAACAGCTGATCCTTCATGGAGGGTGGAGGTTCGTGGTAAATGGTCATAGCCAATCCTTTCAGCTGACTGGCCTGGATAAATCCCTCCCATTGAGTTGTCAACAGCAACTACAAGAGGAAGGTGTACTCAGCCCACAAGAAGAGCATGCCTTAAGCACGCAGCTTGGGTAATAAGGGAGGCTGTGC